CAAAAATGTAAACTGCATGCATATGCTTGTTGTTAGTCTGAAAAACATGTGACATAACAAATTTCACACCTCTAACCAATTAAAATCTATAAAAGCCATAGAATTTCTGCAGGTATTTCTCATACCTGGCAATAAAGCTCATTCTGATTCTGATTCTGATGTTCAGCTGCTTGACAGCAGTAATATACTTTATTATGAGATGAGCTGAACTGTGCACCACTAACATTTTCCGTTATACCATTCCTGCGGTATGCGCTGTTTTTCATGTCCTGCTCAAAGACTGAAAGTGTACGAATCCCTCAGGTTGAGTGCAGTGTAGAGTAAGGCTGCACGATATATCGAAATTATCGAAATATCGCAAATGTAAATATCGCAAGGGCATGCGATATCTGAATCATTTTAATAATAGGCTACTTAAATCAAAACGTTGCAAAAGGTCAAAGTTTTAGTTCGATGCATCTAGCAGAGAATTGCTTGACGTTAAAAAGAGTTAAGTGCAATAAGTTGCAGAAAACAACTCTTTGCCGTCTCGTCTTGCTGTCTGACTCACCCCTGAAGCGCGCGCACAAGCCGCATCTCGCACAGCGTCTCTTCAGCTCTGCCGCACACGTGCAAAGCGCGCAAACACACAGAGAGACGCGTTTCAGTTGGCGCGCGAACACTGAGTTGATTCGTCTTTCGCATCTCGTCATGTTTGAACAGACACATACAAACAGAATTATGTCAATAGTACCGGTTGAGTGCAGTGTAGAGAGTAGCACGACCCTCCTCCTCCTGTTGGTGCGAGCGAGCGGTCAGTCAGTCACGTGTGTGTAGGATGGACGAACTTAAGGAGCTTCCCCTGGAACTCACACGATCGGCAACCGGATGTTTTTTGTCTTACTGCAAGCAACTCGTCTCTGTTCTGGACTTGCACAAACTGCGTTGCAATGCAATCGTTTTCCAAAATGTAATTTATGTGAAAATATGAAGTCTGTAAACGCTCGTTAACACAGGCCAGAGACGCTGAAGACTGACGCACAGAGAAAAATACTGTAGCAGGCAGATCACTCACTGTTCATGATGCACGAACTATTGGAAGAAAATCCTCAATATTGATTTGGGGGTTCATATGAATGTGTTTCTGAGGGGAACACCCCCTAGCCCCGGTGTAGCACCGTCACTGGTCAGAGAGTGAATCTGCATCTCATTCAGAGCTTCTATATAACTAAATTATATGAAATGAAATAAATTATATGTATATGAATTATATAACTAAAATTAAATAACTGTAATTACAGATTTAGGTTAAATAAAGATGTCAGTCTTTATTTTTCTTCTTTTTAGGAAACAAATCAAAGAAAAAAATAAATTCTACTGTTTCTAATATTCTGTGTGTTGCTCAAAAACAAAATATATTGTGTTCAGTGGAAAAAATATTTTTTTTTACCCAGTCATTTAAAAAGAACACATTTTAGACCTGTAACGACAATACCGTGATACCGTGAAACCGTGATATTGTTGCTTAAGGTTATCATACAGTCAAAATCTCATACCGGTACATGCCTAATTGTCAATTAAAGGTAAAATCAGAAAACTAAAATTAACTATTAATTGAATAATACTGGTAATACTACAAAACACTTCTATTATTAATGTCACCTGTAATAAATGAAGAAATATTTGAAAAATTAAGTTGAAATAATTAAGAAATGCAACTTATATTTTTCTTTTTAATAGTTAACTGTATTTTAATGCATTTAGATTAGTATCAATTTAATTTAAATTGCATTAATGTTTACAGAAAAATGCATAATAATAATGCATGAATAATAAATAAAACAATCCACATAATTCAAAAATAAACTAAAAAAAAACATTCATTTTAATTAGTTTGAGACAAAACTGTTCCCAGAAGTCCCGGCAAGTAGTGTGTTCGCTTTTGCATTAAAATAAATATTTAGTTAAGTCATTCATTTATGGTTAATATAGGTTACTTTATGGTAAAGTGATTCCTGCATGTCAACTCATCAAACATTGGTTATCCTCCTAAACTCTGCCTTTACAGTTGAGTGATTCACAAATGCTGTACAAATCAGTAGGAATGGATCATTAAAAGGAACCAGATCAAAACATCATAACAACATAACACTAAATTACAACTGCATACACAGTATCAAGCATAGTAACAAAGTATAAATAGCTAGTCAAACACAGCTGGACCAGTTTTTCCCACAAAATTTACAACTACCAAATGCTCTACAACCACAACCTCATTTGTATAAAGAGACAACAATGAAGTAGGCAAAGAAGAGCCACTTTCTTTCTCAAACCCAAACAACTCTCCCATTAACATGTATCTACGTGTATTCGTACAAGTGAAGGCTTTATACTATGAACGTGACAGAATCAAGGAGGAGGGTTAAATCCCTCCAATTGGCACAGCACTGTAAAATGTGATGCCCAGTCAGGTTTCATTGCTTCACCTCAGCTGATGACCAGAGGCGATTAGGAACTGCCTGTCACCAGCCTCCACAAATCAGCATTAGCACCAACCTTTTCCTCACTGAATGGATCCGTTTCTACATTAATGTAATACAGCCGAAATAACTTAATTCTGGGAGCATTTACAGAAGCATGACCGTGGAAATTCTTTGTGGGTCAACAAACAAATGCCTCTGTTAGCTTTCAAGACTTTGGTCAGGGGTAAATCCTCAATGACTGGCTCCTTTCTCAAGAGACTTCCTGAATGCTTCTCATAGAAGAGAAAACAGTTTTGAATGGTTTAATGGTTTATTGCTGTCAATGTTATGTTGGGAAAAAAAGGCCATACCAGGTTATGGAGGTCAAGCAGGTCAACAAGTTTTGTGTTCAAACACCTTAAGCACCTCAAGATGGTCTATCAACCCAAACCAGCTTGACCAAGATGGTCTATCAACCAAATCTGGGCACCATTTGCTAGTGGTGCCGCTGATCAACCTCATAAATCAACTAAATGACCATAAAAGACCAGATTCATCCGACTAGAAACCATGTAAATCCAGCTACTAATGATTCAACTTCATTCTGATCTTCGATTTTGGGGTAAAGGGTTTATTAAGAGGCCAAAAGAAGCAATTTCCTGATCATAACGAAAAGTATCAATACAAAAAACTAAAATTGAACTGTCTTCAAGGTACCCACCTTTCTTGTGCTGAGGGCTACCACTCGACCTCGGAGTGGGTGTCGCAGGGGACTTTGGAATGACATCTGGCTGTTTCGGGGTAGTTGATTTCCTTGCAGTGTCCATCTCTGTAGGCGTGCTAGCTTCAAGGCCTGATTCTGTTTTTGAAGGGGTGTTGACTTCCTCTGAGCTGGGATCACTGGGATTGGTCTCTGGAACAGCTGGGGGATCTAAGATAGAAGACGAAAAAAGTGACAAACGTCAACCGAGAGATGAAGACCAGTCGAACTTCATTCCAAAGCTACAGCAAACACTCGAGTGTATGTGTCTTCTAGATGTGTGATTACACAGTTACATAGAAGAGTCATTCACAGTTACATTCCGCAGAGATTAAATCCAGATCGATTTGTTTTCGATTAGCACACATGATCCATAACAGAATGTTTCGGTACAGCAAAGATTAAATGAGTTAAAGTCACGCCCCAGGCAGCTCAATATGAACCTCAACTGCCCTCCAATCAATTGATTATTGGTAGTTTGAAGGATTGCTCTGTTGACACAAGAAAATAATGGTGACCTTGCCACCTTCCACTTCCCTCGAGAACATCGATTTAGTAGATAGGAGAAACACAGTCTTTTTTTACTGTTGATCAGACACTCTAGACTAAACCATTTCTTTAGACATAATTTCCTCTCTCGAGGCTGATCATTGTTGTGTAAATCTGCATTAAACAATACACATAAGATTCAAGGTTATTTTATTTCTAATGGTAGGTAAAATATGTAGAATCATATTTATTCTGAATCCTAACATTGAATTTAAATTCAAAATCCACCTAAAGTGAAATGTGAGGAGCTAAAGATTCCCATGCCTACTGATAAGCGTGTAGCTTACCTGGATGTTTTAACAAACTAAAACTCTAAATCAAAAATTTCATCCAAGAAAATGAGCGAGAAAACGAGTTCTGGATTTCTGATATCTTAAAGCCATGCTGTCATGTCGAGACAGTCCACACACACAAGGAGGAGGTTGAACAGATCACCTGTTTTTCACTGATAAGAGAGTGACCTGGGTTAGAGTCCGATTTGATGTTGGCCAACATTACAGACTCAATAAAGTGTCTATGTATAAACACACACAGAAAGACAGACAGATGTCAGAGTAAGGTGTGGCAATATAGCTTTAAAAATAAAAGGGAAAAAATGCAATATTTTTCAACCTTTTTGATGATATTAAATAATAATTTTTCTTTTTTATTATTATTATTATTATTATTATTATTATTGGTGACAATTAGGCATAGGCCGATTACCGGTTTCAAGGTATACTGCTATTTGAAAATGTCACGGTTTCAAAACCACTCATATTTTCCGTTATACCGTTCCTGCGGTATGCGCTGTTTTTCATGTCTCCTCAAAGACTGAAAGTGTAGGAATCCCTCATGACCCCTCCCCCTGTTGGTGCAGCAGTCAGTCACATGTGTGCATGACGGCCTAAGGAGCTTCCCCTGGAACTTACGCAATCGGCTGTTTTTTGTCTTATTGCAACTCGTCTCTGTTCTGGACTTGCACAGGATGCGTTGCAATGCAATCATTTTCCAAAATGTAATTTATGTGAAAATATGAAGTCTGTAAACGCCCGTTAACACAAGCCAGAGACGCTGAAGACGGACGCAAAGATAAAAATACTGTAGCAGGCAGACCACTCACTGTTCATGATGCACAAACTATTGGAAGAAAATCCTAAATATTGATTTGGGGATTTATATGAATGTGTTTCTGAGGGGAACTGACTGTCTTCAGAAAAGTTTAGATGGTATTTTCTTTTCATCTCGTCTCTGTATAGTTCACATTAAAGCAGTGTTTCAGCGCAGCGCTGCTTTGTTTACAGCAGTAACCAAGGAAATGCTGGCCCTGTCCCAAACGGCACCCTAAACCCTCGCGGTCTTCCTCTGAGTCTGCACTTTTGTGACGTAATGCCGCTTTGACTGTCGGGGTGGAAGTCTGCTGCGGAGCTCGCCCCAGTGCGGGCTCGGCAGAAGTGCGTATCGAGGGCGCATAACACCCTTTTGAATGCTAAAATGACGAATGGAACACCCTACGGTCTCGTGGACTTAACGGACATGCGGCGGCCATTGTAAGTCCACAAGACCGAAAGTGCACATGAAGTGTTCCATTTGGGACAGGGCCGCTGTATCAGGTGTTCCAGAAGCACCCCCTGCTGTCAGAGAGTGAATCTGCGTCTCATTCAGAGCATCTGCTGTTTGTTTCATTCAGGCATGTAGTATAAATTCACAAAGCTAGTCAGAACATTCTGTTTTTGCTTCAAATTGGGTTATTATTAAATCAAATTATGTATATTAAATTATATAAATTATCTATATTATATAACTAAAATTAAATAACTGTAATTACAGATTTAGGTTAAATAAAGATGTCAGTCTTTATTTTTCTTCTTTTTTTCTTTTTCACATCAAAAGCTGCAAGACAGCCCACAATTCAGCAAACATTTCAGAAACAAATCAAAGAAAAAAATTAACAAATACTGCTGTTCCAAATATTCTGTATGTTGCTCAAAAATAAAATACATTGTGTTCAGTGGAATTTTTTTTTTTTTACCCAGACATTTAAAAACAACACATTTTAGAGCTGTAATGACAATACCGTGATACCGTGAAACCGTGATATTTTTGCTTAAGGTTATCATACCGTCAAAATCTCATACCGGCCCATGTCTACTAGAATTTAAATATTTTAAGCAAAAACTAAAGCACAGTAAAAAAAAAAATAAATAAATAAATGATTAAGGCAAACGAACACAAGGACTAATCACAATCATTTTTATTATGCACCAATATAACAAAACGTAGCAAATGCAGGAGTCCATAACTACTATTGTTTATGACTAAAACATTTATGAATGAATATGCCAGCAACTTTCAGGAAGTACCGTATTGACCCGAATATAAGACGATGTTTTTTTCTTGGAAATACATCTGAAAAAACACAGTCGTCTTATATTCAGGGTCTAGACTTTGACATGTCAATAATACACCCACAACAATAGGTGGCGCCAAATACGCATAAAAACGAGTGTGCCATGAAATACGTAAGGTAATGCGTGTTGTAAAGATCGCTTTTTAAAAAGCCTTTTTCCAAAAGGTACATCTGGAAAAAGGGGGGTCGTCTTATAATCAGGGTCGTCTTATATTCGGGCCAATACGGTAATCAAAACAACTGAATCATTGAATCAAAGCTCTGAATCAATACAATGACACAGGCATTGACTTGATTCACAGAAATTATTTGAACTTACCAACTAAGTACTGAGGTTAAAATCAGAGACATCTAGGCCCGGTTTCATAGACAGGGCTTAGCCTAAACCAGGATTAGGCCATAGTTCAATTAGGACATTTAAGTAATTTTTATAAATGTGCCTTAGAAAAAAACATTACTGGTGTGCATCTTGAGACAAAACAAAGGCACTGATATATTTTAAGATCAGTCAGTGCTTAAGCCTTGTCTGTGAAACCGGGGGCTAATGTCTTTAGAAAACTTAAAGGTCAAACTTAAAAAGATGTGATTTTGTTATTATATAAAATATAAACATCACAAATATTTCATGGATTTTCAACATATCATTTTGCTCTATACACACTACACCCTATAGAGTAGAAATCAGCCTGCCTAGTAAATATGAAAACATCCTGTATTTACTCAGAGGCTGTGTTTTCTCCACCTCAACATGTCTATTCAGCTGCTGTGAGGCGGAAGAGTTTTTCTGACCAAAAAAAAACCATCAGCAGTGGACTGTTTTGTCCCTGGGAGAATGAGATTGGACGGTATGGCAATGAATGAATGATGTTTTGAGTTTTACAGTTACTAATATTTGGAGATTTTTCAGCTCAGGGTCTGCTTTAGTCCTCAGTTGTGCTTAAGGCGAGATTTACTCGTTCTGATCCACCCTGAATCCCTTTTCCTCTGCACTGGCATTGCACGCTGCCCAGGGACAAACCAAGTAAATGCTGCCATGCATTGCATTATTCATGGTGAGCTAAAAATAGCATTACCACCAGACATGAAATGATAATAAAGACATTAAGCATGAGAAAAGATCTGGGTTGCATGCATAAAATGTTAAGTTTTAAAGTAGTAGTAACTAAGAGTACAGCCATTAGGGAAAATTCTGTAATGTGACTGCTGAATACTGTTGCATTATGCATTTGCTTGGTACTCATTATCATATCTGAAAATAAACTGATACTATAGCAGTGCACCATGCTGTCAATCAAGCAGGCAACTGACACATACAAAGAAAGAAATATTAGAAGCAAAGCATCCAGTCACCAACATAGAGGTAAAGTCTATTTAATAATCAATTAATTAATCAAATTGATTTAATAAATATGTCTGAGCTGTCTAAATACATTTATATTGCATAAGGTAGTTTTTATATCAACTTTTTAATTGCTTTTACTACATTTTGTTGTTGAATAATTAAAAAAAAACTGTTTTAATGACAGATTTCTTCAAACGTACACTAAATAATAAAGACAACAGGTTAAGTATAATGAACGAATATGTAACAGTATAGAGACATGAAAATGTTTATAAACCAAACCAAACCAAAAAAAAATAATATATATATATATATAT